AAATAATTTTATTATGAAGAGAAAGTAGGTACCTATATAAAAAAACGTTAAATAGAAAACAGTTTTACAAATAAAATAACAGCGACTGAAAATGAAACAAGTAATCCTATTATGAAGAAGAATGTATATAAAAAATGTTAAATAAAAAGAACAGTTTTACAACTAAAATAACAGAGACTTAATTCTAAATTATTATCGACAATGCCGCTACTGGTTACCGGCATGTCTGTCTTTAGATGACTAATCCGGCCCGTATCAAAATAGTATCTTTGTTTATCTAATTTCAGTTAAACTACTATCTAGCATCTATTAAAATAACATGGGAAGTTATGCTCAATGCAATGCGCCAACGGTATGTCATTAAATGTCTCCATTAGCGCATAATTAAAAAAGTTCAGTTATTTTTCTAACAGACCTCGTATATTGTTGCATGTTGTTCAAATGCGCCTTCCAGAGAAAAATGGAATTGTTGTTTCCTGCAGGATGTCACGTAAGTAGTTGAATGTAATATCGCAGAGATACTGACTTTTTTATTGTGCTTTAAGTTAGTCCAAATAGTAAAAAATATTTAGTTGCAAATTTAGAAAAAATGTGAAGTTTAATTAGACCAGAACACCCCGAACCAATTTTCCTCTGGGAACATTATACCGGGTGGGGCATTTATTTTGAGACGAAATAATATCTCGGTTGGACTCGATTAATTCTAAAAAAGTTTGAGACAAAAATTGTAGGGCACCAAGGGGGTCATTGAAATGTCCATATTACGACTTGCGGTCTAGACAGGAAGTGGCGAGTTTAGACCGGAAGTTGATTTTTTAAAAGGAAACACCCATTTTTTACCACGGATTTAGATTGAAAAACGAAAACAAAATTCTTTTTGTGCTTATTATTTATGCGATTTAACCCATATTTTGGCCATAAAATGGCCATAAGAAACAAAAAAAACTAGAATTTTGATACAATGACACCTTGTTGGGATCACTTTAAAAAAAAATGTTTCGTACAAAAGTTGTAGGGCGAAAAGGGGGCTATCTTGACATGACCTTGAAATAACCTTGACCTTGATTTCAAGGTCGTTTGAAGATTAAATTCAGAATTTTAAATGGGACCCTCTCTTTTGACCTTGAAAATTGGAAGAGCGGCAAGTTTTACAGTGAGATATGAACTTAATCTCAAGAGCAAGATCAGATTTCAAGGTCATTTTAAGGTCGAAAAACTGTATAATTATAACTACTTTTAGCACTACCCAGGAATAATGTTGTGGACGTAGTTGTTTTTTATTCTTTTTGGGGTGCTTGTTTTCGGTGAAATTCTTTAGATTTCTGAAGATTTTTATGATTTACTGAAGAAATTTTGAATTATATTAATAAAATTTAGAAAAAAAAAAGTTTGAACATTATTTGTTCTATTTTTTATTAGGAAGCCATTGGCGTAATCAGATTTTTTACAAATCGCACAGTTTTTCCGATATTACGTAAACATAGGTTTTTTAAATAAAACACCCTCTATTTGACCATTCCGCTGAATAGCAACTTTTTTTTACCTTTTCAGCCATATACAGGGTATTCTCAAAGTTGAGTCATTTATTTTAACAGTTGGTAGAACTCGTAAAAAAGTCGATATACCAAAAATCGTTTACAGGGTCGGAAAGTCCCCATGGTTCATCGGCAGTTACATGAGAGCGATAAAGTAAGTCATAGAAATCCGTGCGATAAAGAAAGATAGCTATAATGAAGGCGTCTAATAGTCACCGCCCATTTCGCTCTTCCACAAATAAGAAGTGGTTCTTATTTGTGAAAGGGCGAGATGGGCGGTGACTATTAGACGCCTTCATTATAACCATCTTTCTCGATCGCACGGATTTCTATGACTTTCTTTATCGCTCTCACGTAACTGCCGATGAACCATGGGAACTTTCCGACCCTGTATATAAAAGTTATGAAATAAAGCAATTATTAACAATTATTTAAAAAAAATTGAAATTTAAAAACTTTATAATACAAACCTGATTTAGTGTCATTTTCGACCACTGCGTTGTAAAAACATGAATTGTTTGAATACTACTGATACTGGATATGTCTTTTTTTTGTGGTTCCACGACTTTGAGTACGCTTTTCTATTTGACAGTGCTAAATAATTCGTACGGTGGTGCGTGGTATTATTTTTGATTTGTGGGTGTTTTGTGCAATAAAAATGGCACATGTTTATGAACAATGAACTAGTGGACATAATATTATCTTACAGGGAGTGTCAACAAAATGCAGCCGCAGCACGTCACTTGTAAGCGGAATAGAAAAATAATAATAGAAACTTTTTATTTGCCTAAATGAAGAAAAATGGGAAAAAAATATAGGTGTTTTTTCTGTGATTTATGTGATTTATTTAGTATTCGTCTGGTTTGTTTAATATTGACTGTTAATTTATTTCTGACTGATTGACGGTTTACTGAACGATTATTACTTGGTACCCTGTACAAAGGAATAACACAAATGGAAGATACAACTAAGTAAATAAAAATAAATGTTTTTAAATACGCTCCTTTTAGGACTTATTTAGTAAAAAAAATAAATATTATTTGTAAAAGACAAAGTAAAAGTTACTTTTTCTGTTGATGTCTATAAGCTCCTTTAGATTATAGTTTTACATTTTTTTTATCTTACCTCCACATCTAATTGTTTTTATATCGTAAATTTTCGAAAAAAATTTAAATGTCGGTCTTTCCTAAAAATTTAAATTTTATAAGACGTATACAAATTCCCACAAAAAAATTATAACCCACATAAAAATTTCATTAAACGACAGTGTCGCCTCTAAGAGCTATAATAAAAATGTAAATTCGTCTGCTATATAGCATCGCTCCGCAAATTTAGTTGCGACAAAAGTGGACAGCCTATAAATTCGACATTTAATATAAATTACGAAATACGCAGCATTTGTTAATTGCCATCAATTTTATTAGGCACTTTATTTCATATGTAAAAGATTTGGTTGTGACACCGACTTATAGTCCAGTTGGTAGAGGTTCGGCCTGTGTCAAACCTTAATAACCCGGAAATAATTACACAGGCCTACTTTAAATGATGAGTACAATAACAGGCTAGTTATTGTACTCATGACAAAGTATTTTATCATGAAAAGTTATTAACAATTTAGGTAGTTTTCTTTAAATAACTCAGCGGGATGACTGTACGAAAAAATGCTTAGGACATGATTTTGTCCGTAATAAAAATAGCTACAAAATGGCGGTGGTCAGATTACGAAATTTGTAATAACAAAGCCGTGAGATTGAAAAAACGGTATAAAACGTCAGTTTTTTAAAGTTGCTGTAAAAATGTCAATTATAAACAAAGTGCTAACATTTTCGAAAACTATAGTTCAATATATTACAATAATGACGCTAAAGCCGAAAATCAGGAGAGCAAAACTTTTTGTTTTATAAGGTGTTATACATTCATCGGCATCTGAAACTCGAAACTTTGCCAAATTTGTTCGAAGCTTTGCTGACATTTGAAATTTGGTACACACATAGTGTAAAAATGCTGAAACCAAAAGCAATTTGCAAAATTCAAGTATCTTCAATTTTGCAGTTTTGGTAAGGTTTTATACGTCACTAGTTTTATACGTCACCGTTTTTTTTAATTTTTGGACGTATATTTATGTATATCTATAAAATATTCCATTACGGTAGATTAACCAGCACAATTACCTACAATTTAAAAAAATATATATTTTCATCGTTTAGATCCTAAGCTACTTAACATTTTGCGCCTGTTAGCCATACTCGTACATTATCCAACATATCAACATAAAACAAAAACGTACGTGTGGGGTAAACCTTTAACTTTAAGTAAACAATTTTTTAAATTTACTGTTGCATATTTCTAATAGTATACAAACGCCGAAGAGCGGAGCTCGCGCTCGAAAATGAAAAGTTAAAAGTTTACCCCATGCACACGTACGATTTTGTTTTATGTTGATATGTTGAATAATGTATGACTACGACTAACAGGCGCAAAATGTTAAGTAGCTTAGAATCTAAACGATGAAAACTATTATTATATTTTTAATTGTAGGTTGTTAATAACTATTTTTCCTGATAAAGTACTTTGTCAGAAAATTAGCCTGTTATTGTACTCATCATTTAAAGTATTCCTGTGTAGTTATTTCCGAGTTATCAAGGAAATGTCACCAACAGTAAGTTTTCGGCCTCTGCCGACTGGACTATATAATAAATATTAAATTAGTTAACGTAAAGCATAAATATAATAAAATATCAACTACTTTAANAGTTATTAAAAAAAAAACAATTTTACAAACAGATATTCATCACCCTGTATATCAAAAATAAAGCGAAAACGGACCTATGTTTATATGAACTTTTTGTCTTAAAATCACGCACAGAATAACACCCTTCAATATTGACATCCAATTATGAGACACCCTGTATATTGAACTATAGTTTTGGAAAGTTTTATCACTTTTTGTTTATAATTGATATTTTTGCAGCAACTTTAAGAAATTGACATTTTATACCGTTTTTTTCAATCTCACGGCTTTGTTATTGCAAATTTCTTAATTGGACCACCGCCATTTTGTAGTTATTTTTATTGCGAACAAAATCATGCCCTAAGCATTTTTTCGTACAAAGTCATCCCGCTGAGTCCTTTAAATGACTAAACTACTAAAAAAAAAATTTTCACGATTCAATTGTTAATAACTATTTTTCCTGATAAAGTACTTTGTCAAAAAATTAGCCTGTTATTGTACTCATCATTTAAAGTATTCCTGTGTAGTTATTTCCGAGTTATCAAGGAAATATCACCAACAGTAAGTTTTCGGCCTCTGCCGACTGGACTATATAATAAATATTAAATTAGTTAACGTAAAGCATAAATATAAAAAAAATATCAACTACTTTAAACGTTGATAGAACTGTAATTAAAAGAAAATTTGAAGTAAACGATACACTAAAATGTCTCTGATTTTGACTAATTTTTCAGGCGCCTGAAGTTACAATGTACCAAACCCACTACCCTGGTTTCTACTACACTAGCGCAGGAGAACTAAGGAATTCCCCTACTAAAGAGGACCAATCTGCCACCGCCGTACATTTCGAAGTAAGCAGACCTCCCAGATTTTAATCCACTTGACCCCCTACTTAAGTTAATCTGTAATCAAGTCACCATTAAATTTTCCTTCTCGATTAACGAAAATCTTCATTTGCTGACATTCCTTCTAGCACATCCGCTCCTTGATCTTCACCGAAGACGAAGTCGACCTGGAAAAGATAATATGCCTCCACCTGCTATGTGTCCATAAAGCCGAAAGCTTAACACCACCTAGGAGCAAGGCGAGGTGCATGTGCAGGGAACATTCCCCCTGCGAGAGGCTGATAGAGAGGTCCAAAAAGGGGTTCACCAACTTCGAGAGGCTCTCGAAGTTGCTGCCGTTATACGCAATAGGCAAGTATTCTAGGAAAGACGGTCTTCTACCAGATGTGTCCATGACGACATAACGAAGTGGTATTCTGTTTGTTAACTAAATCGAAAATAAAACTAAAAGGATGAAAGGTGACATTTGATACACGACACACACCATAGAATATATGTAATACCATACAGGACAAGAAGGTCCGTCTAATTGTTGTCATTGCCCACAGTTTTAAAGAAAACTTAATTTTTATAGTGCTTCTTTCCATTAATGTATTTTTTTTTGTACTAAAACTTATCCTTTAAGTGGGTTTCACCCGTTGGATATTTTAAGAGTAAATAAATAAATAAATAAATATTTCGATCTACGTTTATATGAACTTTTTTTCACAAAATAACTTCGGCAACAACCCCCTAAAATATTTCGCACTTATTTACAATCATCCTGTATACCTCAAACTAACATATAAAAAGTTCAAGCACACTGACCAAAATTGCGATTTAAAGGACCATTTAATTGGACCAATAGGCCAACTTTTTTATTTGAAGTGATAGACTACCTAGTACTTCCAAATGCAATGTTGTAGGAAATAACTTTACTAAGAAAAATTTACAAATAATGCTTTCTGATGTTGCCAGATTTCTTCAGTAACTACTAAAATTATATTTCTTTAATTGGCAACACTGTATTTTTTTAACATAATTTGACAAATCTTCAAATTCTAAATAAAAAATTTTACGTTACATTTCTTTATTTTAGAACAATCAGCAAAAACAACGAAAATAATCTGCAGTTGGCAGGAATTAAAAGAAGCTACCATAGCAATAGTAGGCATTGGAAAAACAAAAATTGTGTTGTTTGAAAGGAGCCAACATTATTGTACTGTCATTGTGTTATTTGAAAGCTGTTGTATTTGAATATGTATAATAATGTTTTAATTCAGCAGCTTGTAAAACACCCTGTATTTTTTAATAGAACGTAAAAATAATTATATTAAAAATGCTTATTAATAGCTCCGCTAATGCGCTGCAGTCGATGCTATAAGAAACATTAATTATATTTCTCTAATCGTTATTCTTGATGGAAAAATTAGCAATATTTTTACAGCAGTCGTAAAAATTTTATGTTAATGTAAAAGATGGATCATCAATTACATATTTTTATCATTAAGACATTTCATTCAGAAATGGTAAATATTAAATATATTACCGTAGATTAGCTTATAGAAAACGAGAAATAAATACCTGTTGGTATTAATAGAAGGTAGAACAACTCATTTAAAACTCGTTTTTTAGTAGTTTCCTTAAAATGATAAAGCATATTTATAAAAAACGAACTGAGGTATGTTAACCCTATCTGTAATCATATTACAATTTGTTTTGACTGACTGGGCTTTTATGTTAGAAATTCCAAAGTAGCAAACGAAATACTAGGTATTTTAAAAACAGGAAGTACTAAAAATAGAGAAATTATTAGATAATATGTCTACTACAACAAGCTTTTGTTTAAACTAATTACGGACAAAACAATTTTCAAGCACTTCACTTTGTTTAAAGTTTAAGATAACTATAACGACACATTCATCATAATCTATTTTTACGCCACTTAGCACAGAGGTTGAGTGATGCAAAATCCAGAGATCTTGTAGGATCTTGTACGATTGAATTGTTTTTTTAATGCGATAAAGTTTTGTGTTAGTATTTCTCTTATAATTATAAAACTTCGGTTTAACTAAACCATTTGTTAGCTTTCTCACCTCATACCTCTTTCAATTTAAAATTGACAGTGGAGCATCGTGGTTTCCGATCAATAGAAATAAATGCCACCTCTGGGGTTCCTCAAGGATCGGTTCTCGGCCCGCTGTTATTTCTAGTCTTTATTAATGATATTGTCCGGAACTTGTATTGTGAGGCCACTCTATATGTAGATGATCTCAAAGCGTATCTGTCTGTGTCGGATATTAATGATTGTATTAAGCTTCAATCTAACCTGGACAAAATTTCTGATTGGTGCTGCAGAAATATGTATATTACCTCTGAACTTCTCGAAAGGCAATTTGATGTGCTACACGAGAAAAGATGCATCAAACGAAAAGTCTGTACAAATTAGTAAATCATGTTATTTATACTTGTATACTTATATGTTTGTTTTTTCTCTTATTCGGTTTCTTAGTTTGTAATATGATCTGCAATTCATTTGTTTCATACTTGCGTATACGTTTTTGTCTTTATTTGTATTCATCTTATATTTAAGTGTTTTTTTTTCCTTTTTTTAAATAAATCTTAAATGTTATTCCCACTCAATAATATAGTCCACTCACTGAAGGCGAAAATAAAGTAAAAGCTCCCAATTTTTTCGGATAGGTAGCATTAATTTTCCTGAAAATTTGCATACAAGCTCATCTGACCCCCCCCACTTCAAAAGTTATATTGTTTAGATGTATGCTTTTTTCTATTTGGGGGTGAAAACTACCCTTGTACGAAAATCGCAGATTACGTATTTTAAAGATTGAATTCATGTTCAAATATGTTAGATAAAGTTCCTTTCATGTTTTTTAATATAATTTATGAAATTTAATTACTTTTCAACCCTTAAAAATCCTTTAAACTAACCTAAAAAGAGTTTTTAACAGTTCAAAATATTCTTTTGGTGCATTCAGAATGTATTGCATTTCTTTTGTTATTCATTAGAAAGCATACGGCTCATTACAAAGTTGCAACCCTTAAAAACAATCCCTTATAATAAAATAAAATAATATTGAAAGCTTGAGATGTTTTAATGGTATGCATATGTTGAATTATAAACTTTTTATTGGTTTTCAAATGATCTATTGCAACTTTTCAGCCACCCAAAAAACCCTTATGGAAGACCTACCCCTCATAAAAAACCCTACGCCTTATAGAAAATTTCTTACAAATTATATGAGTATGATGATATAATTATTTTTGTTTAATTTTATTGAATTTATTCTTAATATCTTTTTATTAAATTTATATCCAATAAAAAAAATTATATACATTATAAATGGATACGTGTGTGTATGTATATTATTACAATACTTACTAAAATCATTTCACAAGTGCTCCAAAATACACAAAGATGATGATTTACCGGCACCGAAAATTTTACGGAAAAAATGCGATTAATTTTTTTACCATAACTTTTGTAATTTTAAAGTTATAAATTTACTCAAAAAAACATTTTGTAGGGAATTTAAAGCACTTTAAGTTCTGTGATTTGCAGTTTTTTTGAGCCCTTCGTTTTTCAGATTTGTAAGCTAAAAGGGCTCAGGACAGGCAGTCTTGGAGCTTAGTTTTGAGCTTCTAACGGTCATAATTCAGTCAAATTATGTCCTACAAAAATTAAAAAAAAGCAAATTGTTCAGTAAGAAGAAACCTACAATTTCTTATTCTATCATTTTTTTATAACGTTGTTAGTTTTTGAAATATTTTGAAAAAAGGCGATTTTTTAAAAAAATTGAAAAATTTTATTCTAGAGTAAATTAATTTTTTTTTTAATTTAGGCTTCTAAAATCGTTCAAATTCCCAGAATCTACTATTAATACATAAATAAAGTAAATTGCAGAATTAATACCGATTTTTTTTTTCAAAAATCAAGACAATCATTTTATTTTTATTGTAACTTCATTAGTTTTCATGTTAGCGACATCTACCACCACTCAATTTAAAGGTCTTTTCAAGAACTTTAATAGGTGTTATATAAGTTTTCCTCGAGAAACCTTTAATTTTTCCGCTACAGGACGTGACGTTGAACGTTTCAATTATAGCTATCTTCGAAATTGGCTTCTTCTGGGAGTCATAACTCGGGTTCTATACCATCTACGAAAATAAAAAAGCAATCTCTTTGCTATTTAATTACCTTCATTTTTGCTTATGATAATTTTTTTGATAAAACTTGTAGCTTTTAGGATATTCACGAAAAATGTCTCAAAACATGCATTTTTGGGCTAAAAACGAACATGTTTAGGCGCAAATAACTCAAAAAGTATTGACTGCACAAAAAATTATTATAGGACATTTTTTGCTTAGAATTCGTCTCTCTATCGAATCGTTTTAATAAAAAAAAATCCCATCCTCCAGAAGGCGTGGCATCCACCCCAAGGGTAAAAGCACACATCGGCACTATATAACTTTTGTTTCTTGGGCTATTCCCTAGCTACAGTTCAAATTTCACGTCAATCCATTCCATCCGAAGAAATTGGTAGCCAAAATGCTTCAATGACTGGACTAATAATTGGCTTAGGCTGTCGAGTGGTGTATGCTAAATAAATAAATAAATAAATACAAGTAAAGAAATAATTTTTTGTTTTGTATTAAAGACCTAACAAGGTACGAGCAATCAATGGGGGAGCAAACCAGCCCACTTATTAACGACGGAAGACTGGCTTCCAGAATCCTGATAAACGAAAAACTGATGGCGCTCATCAACACTGTCGTCACAACCCTGGAGAAGGCCAACAAGGAAAAGTTCTGGCAACTTCTAACGTTGGGCAACAGCCGATGTAAGATGCGAAGGTTGCTGGAAACCGCGCACATTGCTGAATTCGCGGATTTTCTACTCGATCATCCGCTACTACATAGGTGAGTCCATTCCAACTGGTTTGCTCCCACCACAAATTAGTTTAGGCTGTAGGCTACACCACAGCATAGAGACCCTTCCACTTATACTGCAAACACCCTGTACTGCACAAAAAAACATTCTAGGTTAAAGCCTCTTAACGTCAACACACCTGTCAAAATTCCATCATTTCAGTTGCGATGCCTTCGTACTAACTCCTCCTTTCAAGATTAAAGTCCAGTGCCTCGAGATCAAAACTAGTCAGGGCAATTTAGAACACCTCGTCAGCCACTTCCGTCAGAATATCTTACAACAGCCAACAATGCCTATGGATGAGGGTCAGAAGGAAGAGGCTGAAAAAGAGTATGAACCGCCCAAGGCAACTGCTAGTATCATACCATTGCCAAAGATAGAACAGAGAAAGTCCAGTGAGATCTCCGTCAGGTCTTCTAAAACATCTGCAAAGGTGGATTTAAAAAGGAACAGAAGGTTAGTTTCTTTTATAACCATTCATGAAGCACGGACTTATTCTTGTTTAGGTCTGTCGATGATCGACTCGTGGGGCGCCACATGAGGGTCAACTTCGTTGCTAGAAACAAGGAGGACGCCAGTAGAACCAAGAGGATCGATTACGACGTCGAGGACGACTTGATTCCAAGAAAAAGGTCCTCCACAGGCAAAATGAAAATCATTGAGCCTATAATTCCCATAAAGAACGCATCTATGCCCGCTGTTGAGGAAAATGAGTCTGATGAAGAAAAGTTCATTGAAAGCGTAGAGAGCAACAAAAGCAACAAACCGGAAAGGTAAGAAGAATTTCTAAAACATTTATATACAGTGTGTCCCACTAGTGCGGGAAAGTCCAATATCTATGTTAAAATGAGGAATATATGGATTTTTCTTTTTATTGTGTTGCCACATTTTAGTCCAAGCATCCTGTCACGGATTAATGTTAAATTTGCAGAAATTATTACCTGGACAAAAAAAATATGACCGTATAGAAAATTAAATTTTAAATTGAGTTTCTTGTTCTTTAAACTCGATCCAATATGGCGAACATGGTTAAAAAAATTCGCAAAGTTGAAAAAACGGTTTTTTTTTAAATAACTAAAAAAATATAGCACGGATTGAAAAATTTTAAATGAGAAAGTTGTAGGTTTTAAAAAGATCTATCGAC